ATTCTTTGTTTTGGTACCGGGGATTGAACTAGGGACCTTGCACTTGCAAGGCAGGCACCGGAACCACTGAGCTAAACCCTCGGCCCAATATGTAGATCTTTGTACAGTTGACTTTTTGACATAGCAAATCCAAAAATAACTTTAATTTTTTCTTCTGTGGAAGTGGAAAGGGCATTTTTCACATATAAGTGAGCTATTATTTTCAAAAGAACTTTATCATTATGTAACTAATAACAGTAATTAGCCCTCAATCATGGTGACAGGTCCTTACTGGTATGTGTGAGATTACTCTAGCAACTATTACAGTATACAGCTGAATGATTTCACACATACACACCATTACCCAGATAATTTACAGTTCTAGTAACAGTGAAGTTGATGACGTATTACTGATTTAAAAATTATTATCTAAATAAAAAAACAGAAAATTATTTTGTGTGGCCTTCTTATATGCTTATGTCTCCAACAAAGAGCTAGATATTTTAGCAGTGGTGTAACAAAAAGTTACATCTTACTGTTGATGTATGTATGCTCTGGTACAAAGATGTCATTTTGTTGTCACCACACTACAGTGAAATATATAAATAAAAACTTTAAATTCATATAAAAATAAATTTATTCCTGAGCATTTTTAATGCTAGTTTAGATGAAGTTGTTTTCTTAATTTTTTGGGTTTTCATTGCTGGTATATAGAAGTATGACTGATTTTGTGCAATCTTCTATCATGTAACTGAATATGTTTATTTGCTCCAGCAGAGTATGTGTATGCCTGTGTGTCCATCCTTTAGGATTTTCTATATATAAGATCGTGTCATCTGCAAGTAGCTACACTTCTTCCTTTCCAATCTGAAGTCCTTTGATTTCTTGTTCTTGACACTTCTCTGGCTAAAATCTCCACTGGGCAAAAGTGAACATCCCTCTTATTCCTGATCTCAGGAAGAAAAGCTTTCAGTCTTTCACCATGGAATATGAAGTCAGCTGTGTATTAGTCATACATGGTCTTTATTATATTGAAGAGCTTCTCTTTTAGCTCTAATTTTTAGGTGTCATAAGTAGTGTTTTCATTCATTGCTTATTTTGCACCAATTAAGATAGTAATGTGATTCTTTTTCTTCACTAAATTAATATGAGTGAAGTACACTACATTGATATATGGTGCATTACATTGATTTTGTTAGGTTGAAATACCCTTGTACAACCCTTGGTTGTAGCATATAGTTCTTTTAATACATTGTTGGACTTGGTTTGCTGATATTTTCTTGCTGTTATGGGGGGTTTTGGTTTTTTAGATAGGGTTTTTCAGTACATAATGATTACAGTCATTGTGGGGAGTTGATACATGTACAGATCTTAATTCTTTTTACTTCCTACCTCTCCCTTCCCACCCCTTCCTCCCATCTCATTGTCTCCTATTTGCAACTCTTTTAGTTCCATTACATTAATACCACACTGTTTTAACTCCTTTACTTCTAGAATATGGGTTGACATCCAGTAGGGAGAGCTGTTCCTCATATTTTTCTTTTAAAATGAGCTTTAAAAATCAGTATATCTAATTTTTTTTGAAAATTAGAATTGTGACTGTAAATGAATTACTTTTATTGGCTGACTGAAGAAATTTTTCCAATTTTTACATCTGGCTTTTCCATCCAGGAGCAGTGCTTATTTTTCCGTGTATTTTAGTAAATTTTTATAGCTTCATTCATGTGGGTTTTTATATCCCTTTTCTGTCAGGTGACAGAATCACTGAGCTAAATCCCTGGCCCCTATATCCCTTTTCTGTTTTTACTTGGATTTTTTGTTGTTGTTTGTTCATTGAGGTGGGATCTTGCTATGTTGCCCAGGCTGGTCTCAAACTCCTAGGCTTAAATAATCCTCATGCTTCTGGGTACCTGAGACTATAATCATGTACTACCATGTCTGGCAGTTTTACATTTTTTTAAAGACAGGGTATCACTATATAGTTCAGGCTGACCTTGAACTCACTATGTAGCCCAGGGTGACCTTGAACTCATGGAAATCCTCCTGCCTCAGCCTCCCAAATGCTGTGATTACACGTGTGTGTCACCACACCTGGTATTGCATGTTTACTAAGGTACCTTACATGGTTTCTTTATTGTATTGCTTCTGAGAATGTGATTAACCCCCATTATATAACCTAATTTGTTATTTTAAAATTTTTTCCCTGCCACTGGTGATTGAACCTAGGGCCTTCACATTGAGTCACATTTCTAGCCCCTTTTTATTTTATTTTTTGACACAGGCTTTTGTTAAGTCACTATTGCCCAGGCTGAGCGTGAACTTATGATCCTCCTGCCTTAGTCTCCCAGAGTGCAGGGAACCTGATTTGTTATTGATGATGAGGATAAAATTACCAATTTCAACATACTAATCTTGTTTCATTTGGCAGGTTTTCAGCCTATTCTATTTCTAATATTTATACCCTTAGTTTCTTCTCTTTTTGTATTGATTAGAACACCCAAAATAATAAAAAGCAAAAGTGACAAAGGATGTCCTGCCTCATTTTCAGATTTAATGAGAATGCACGTAGCCTTTCACTATTAAGAGCTATTGCTGGACTGAGGGGTGTAGCTCCATAGCAGAGCACTTGCCTAGCATATGCAAAGACCTGGGTTTAATCTCCAGCCCTGGAAAAAAAAAAGAGTGGTTATTGTTGATGAATTCTATTGTTGATGAATTAAGAACTGTTTCCTTTGTTTGCTTTTGAGAAAATGATATTTTTATTCCTTTTAACAGGTTCTAATTTTGAATTACTTTTAAGTAGGTTTTTTTTATTACTCAACCAAAAATTTATTTCAAATATTTCCTACAACATGGATGAAAATTGAAGGCACTGCGCTCAGTGACATAAGCCAGACTCAAAGGGGCAAGTATTGGATGACTCCACTTATATAAGATGCCTAGAGTAGGCGAATTTACACAGACAGAAAGTAAAGTAGAGGTTAGCCCAGATTAGTGAAAGAGGAATGAGGACTTCATGATTAATGGGTACAGAGTTTTTGTTTGGAAAGATGAAAAAGTTCTGGACATGGATAGTGGTGACGGTTGCCCAACAATGTGAACATACTTAATGCGATTTATTTGGTTTAAGTGGTTAAAGTGGAAAATTCTATGCCATATATTTTATCACTTTCAAAAGAAAGGAAATTAACTAAATAGCAGGAGATAAAGATTACATTTCAAAAATGTACTTCTATATTGCTTAATTGTGTCACATGTTATATTCTTATAATTTTAAGACAATAAAGTTTTTTTAAGCTAAAAAATTCTTATATTTGCATCACAAGACCAACTCCTGCTTACTGGACCAGCTTGAAATGCACTGGGCCAACCCCTGACAGACACATGCATCCAGTCAGCACCAACTAATTGCTAGATCCTTTAGGAGATGGAGGTGATAATTAAAATTGGCACAGGCAAAACCTGGGGCTTCTTGTGGATTTGAAGCCTCTGAGGGTGGTTTTTTGTTTCTTAATTACAGTGGTACCTCAGTTCCCGAACTTAATTCTTTCCATGATCCTGGTTGCAAACCAAATTGGATAAGAACCGATTCAAATTTCCCCATCAAGTCAACATTGAATCTAACCATGGAATTTGATTTGGTTCTCATCCAATTCAGTTTGTGACCAGAATCATGGAAAGAATTAAGTTTGTGACCCGAGGTACCACTGTATTTCAAGCTTTATTTTCATTTCAAAAAGGGATATTCACAGGCAGCATCTAAGGACACATAAATTATGTCAGTGTGGGAAATGAAGTGATTCAGTCTACAATTCCAGGTTTTCAACATGGGGCACAAGACCACTTATGGCCATTGGAATGAGATGAAGATAGAAAAAGAGCTGGGTTAGGGGTGAGGGATCAATCTCATTTGGACATGATGAGTTTGAATTTCCTGTTGGTCATCCAGCTAGAGATGGTCAGTAGATATTTTGGGTGGAGGTGAGATGGTTTGCAGCTAGGATAAACTCAAGCCTTACCATATGGGCAGTAGTGGCAGTGCACAATGTAGAAAGATGGCAGAGAGGCAGGAACCAACAGCCACACATGGGTCAGGGAGAAAGAAAACCTAGAGAAAGAGGAGAGTGGCTTATCTGAGACACTAAGGGGTGGTTGTCATTGGAAAGATGGGGAGACCTCATGTTGCATCCTGCAGAGATATCATGTGCAACAGGAACTGAGAGGGACCTCAGGCTTGAATATGATGAGGGCCTTGTGGGCCTTCACCTGAGAAGTATCAGAGAGAGATGGAGGTGAGAGCCAAGGGTGCCCCCGCCATGTCCTCAGCATGTGAGACAATGTCTGGTGCAAACAGGATGGATGTACAGATGGATGCATGTGTAAACTGATGGATAGAGAAATGGGTGGATGGATGGAAAGATGGATGGATGAGTAGATGGTCATATGGATACACAATGAATGCATGGATGGTTGGACAGACAGATAAATGAATGGACAAATGGAGGCATGGATAGGTAGATGGACAAACAGGTGGACAGGTAGATGCATGGATGGATGGATGGATGAATGGCTGGCTGGATGGATGGAGGAATCAATGCACAGATGGATGGACAAATGGGTGCACAGATAGATGGACCAACAAATGAATGGACAGATTGATGGATGAATGGAAAAAGTGGTCTAAAAGATCAGAGAAGATCTCATGAATACAGTAGGACTGAGCTGTGTCTCCTTGAATAGACATGAAAGCTGAAGAGTCTTTCCACAGGAGCATCTTAGGTCAGGAATGACCCAGTGTCCATGACTCCAGGAGGAAGTCAGTCTGGCTGGACCATGGGAAACTCATGAGAAAGGGACTCAGAGGCCCCAAAATGAGCCAGTTCAGAACTCTCCCTTCCATGTCATATTCACCTGAGAACATACATCACTCAGGGATTTACTAAGCATTTACTGTGCCCAACATTGCTATCAGCACTGACAGCCTTAGAAAGACAGGAAGTAGGGGACACATGTAGGTGACTCTATGACTGTGGACAATGCTGGCCTGGGATAAGGGGAAGGCCGCTGGGGCATCTGCCATTCACCAAGGAAATAGCCCACCCTCTGCAGCCCTATGACTATCTCACCCAGCAGGTTCTCTGGCCAGCCCCGCCCCCAGGAGGCAGGCCCCAGGTGCTGGCCCCATGGCTTTTGGTCTGAGTCTCAGTCACCGTGGTTTGTCTTTGGTAGAGGAACCCAGCTCACTGTCCTAGGTAAGTGGCTCTCATGACCTTTCTCAGTCTGTCTCACTGTCCTGCTGTCTCAAGAAAATCCATTCTCTCTATCTGGGAACTTCTTTCCCTCCATTCCTCCCCTGTCTTTGGGATCAATGCCTTACCTTTCTCCATGGGGTCTTGAGGTGACCAGAAGGAAGGGCTCCAGAAGCAGGAACAGCCACCTTCAGAGTCCAACAGTGGGATATGATGGCCTGGTCTGAGGCCTGGAGTTAGGATTTGGCCAAGGGCAGAGGCTATTTCCCTTCCTTTAGAGCAGATGCCCAAATGGGGATCAGAAGCTAGTTCTGGGTAGCACTAGAGATAATCCTGAAGGCCCCAGGGTCTGGGCTGAGAGCTGGATATCTATCCAGGCTGGGAGAGCTACACAAAAAGGACATGGCTGGGGCTGTGTCATCAACCTCTGGGGACTCAGGAGGTTGCCCCATGTAGAGACTAACAAAGGTCAGAGAATGCCTGGCTCACTCTAGGCTGCAGCTCTCTAATCCTCTGATTGTCCATGAGGACATAGGAACACAGAGGGACAGGTCAGACTGGGCAAGGTAACTAGAGCCTGATGGTCATTTAGAAAAAAAGGTGTCCCAAAGGGCAGAGACTATGTCCCTGCAACCTTCTATCCCTGGGGTCACATCTCAATTGACCATAGTCAGCCAGGCATGGTGGCACACCTCTGAAATCCCAACACTCTAGAGAGAGGCTGACAAAGGAGGATTGCTATCAATTCAAGGCTAGCCTAGGCTACATAGCAACACCCCACAGAAACAAAACATAACAAATAAATGTTTATGTACAATTGTCCACAGTCAGCCTCCTACCTTCCTCAAAGAGCACAGTAGACTCAGGAAACAACACACAGGGGAACAAACAGGGAGTTCAAATTCTTGGCTCCAGGTAAAATCAGGAGTCATCAGAGGCTGCTGTACTCCATAGTCTGGAAGGAACAAACTTAAGAATACAGCCAAGGCTGCTGTGCAAGCGCAAGGACCCGAGTTCGATCCCTGGAACCAAAAAGAAAAAAAAAAAGAAAAAAGAATACAGCCAAGGCAAAGGGTCTTGTGATCAGACCAATGGAGACAGGGGAGATGGCAGAACCTTGGAGGAGCACCCAGGCTTGTCTGGGAGGATCCTACTACACCTTGGGAGAGCTGAGTGGACCAGAACAGAGCCTGCTTCTCAAAAAAGCAGGAGGTGCTAGGCTCCCAGTGTGGCAGCCATAGACTCCAGATCTTCCCATGTACCCCATGACCACCTTTCAAGGCTGGATGAGGATTCCTAGTTTACAGAGGCAACTCTAGGCTCTGGAAGAATGAAGCAAGTTGGTTGACTCAGGAGGTCAGGGTCAGATTCCAAACTCAGACTCCAGAGACCAGGGAGGAAGGAACACAGTCTTCTTTGGTGACAATAGGAAAGCTGAGGTTGTGAGGGGAGGGGCTGGGCCAGGTCATCTTGGGAAAGTGACTTGGGAAGGGCTTCCAGGAAGGTGCAGGACTATCTGCTCTTCTGGGGGCACAAGAGAACAATAGGGGAATGAGAGACCCCAGGTAACAAAATGGCTACAAGGAGAATGGTCAGAGATGTTGAGGTGGAGGATCCTCAATACCTGGGCTCTCCTTGCTGATTTATACCCCCTCCTCTATCCACACAGGTCAACCCAAGGCTGCCCCATCAGTCACCCTATTTCCACCTTCCTCTGAAGAGCTCCAGACCAACAAGGCCACATTAGTGTGTCTGATAAATGACTTCTACCCAGACACCATGACTGTGGTCTGGAAGGCAGATGGCACCCTTATTACCCAGGGTGTGGAGACCACCCAGCCCTCCAAACAGAGCAATAACAAGTACAAGGCCAGCAGTTACCTGACCCTGATGCCCAACCAGTGGAGATCTCAAAAAAGATACAGTTGCCAGGTCACACATGAAGGGAGCATCGTGGAGAAGAGTGTGTCTGCTGCAGAATGTTCTTAGGTCCACAACCTTCATCCCGTCCTCCACGGGCTGTAGCAGAAGGACCTGAGGAGAGGTTTCCCCCTCCCACTTCAGCCATTCTCCCTGTAACCAACAAGTGCTCAATAAAATATCCATTTGACGGATAAATCCAGTTCCTTCTCATTTGTTCTTTTCTCACATTTCATGTGCAACCTCCTATCCCCGGGTGGAGGAATTTTGGCATGGTTGCAAAGTACCTCTAGGGGAGAGGATCCTGGTTCCCCAAAACCATCAACAGGCAAGAGTCTAGTCACAATGATATACAGTAAATCTCTATGCCTCTCTTCTTCCTCTTCCTACTCCTAGCACAGGGCCTCACTCCCTTCCTCCTTCCTAAATGGAGCTGTCTGTGGCTGGAAACCACTGAGATGTCTTCTCTCCCTACCCTGTTCCTAGAGGACAAGATTAGAGGCCTTAAAAAATGGCTCAAGGTCAGGATCAGAGCTGGGACTGGAACCTAAGTATTTAGTTCAATCCCCCCGCCCTTTTTTTTTGTTTTGGTACCAGGGATTGAACTTGGGTCCTTGTGCTTGCAAAGCAGGCAGCGGAACTACTGAGCTAAATCCCTAGCCCAGTTCAATCCCTTTTAAAAATGTTTATTAGGATATGGTTGCTGTTCATAATTATTACATTCATTTTGGGGAGTTGGTAATTAAACTTATCTTAATTCTTACTTCTCCTTGTCCTCCTCTTCTTCCACTTCCCTCGATCTCTAGTTCCCCCTTCCCATTTGTGAAAGATCAATCTCCCTATTTCATATTATCTTTTATTTTGCTCTTTAAATTATTTATACTTTTGGTTTCTCTAAGAGAAATCATGCAGGACTTCCAGGAAAATGGTGGAGTAATAATCAGCAATAAACCAGCCTCTCCAATATTCAGGATACAGACACTGGAAAATAACTTAGGGAAGGAAAGGAGAGAGGTGGATTCTTGGGACCCAGGAAGGACCTGACAGGAAAATTGGAGCCTACAGAGAAACTGAAGAGACAGACAACATTGCAAAAAAAGGAAGGGGCAACCAGCACTTTCTCCTCAACTCCTGGCTTGTGCTATTAGAAAGGAAGATCGAATTTTCAGAGATACAGTGAAAGTGGCAACACCAGAGGCCTCCAGGAAGAAACACATCAATAGATTACAGCAGTGAATGCTGAGCACTACAACAATTGGTGAGTGACTGCACTCCAAGCAGCTGCCAAGTGCCCTGGGAAGCACACTTGGTTAGATGCCACTTTAAGGTGGGGCCAGCAGAACCTGGGACTCAGAGCAGCCACAGGTCAGCTTCATCTCAGGGCTCCCAGTTTTAAACTACCACAGTGACTGGGTGATGGACAATCATGGGAGATGTCCATCGTCAGGGAGCTGTGGGCAGGCTGGCAAGCGACACCAGAGTGTTATAAGCTAAACAACTCAAGCCCCAGCCCCACGACCAGACATCAGATTCAGTCTGAACTTTCATGGATTTGAAAATCCCAGAACCAACACCCAGCTCTAATCTTACTGCCAGCTTTCTGCGATTATCCAGCACAGATTTGGGCTCTGACCACCTCCTTTGTCTACCAGCAAGAGGAGAGTCACGCCTTGAATTGGTCACCGGCACAAAACTGTAGACCACAGAAGATAACCACAGGCTGGAAATCACAGAGAAAATTGGTTTTGTTTTTCATTTGTTTTTTAGTTTTTGTTCATTTGGCTTTTTTTCTGTTTTTCATGAGTGTGGACATTGTTTTTCATTTTTTTGTTTTGTTTTGTCTCAATTTTTGTTTTTTCACTCTTTCCTTTCTTCTTGTCTTTTTCACCATTTTCCTAAACCTGGATAATCTTCCTCTGTCCTTCAGTCTTGCTTCTAATCTCTTTTTCTTCTTTTATTTCTCTATTTTTTCCTCTTTTTCCTTTTAATTTTCTCTCCTTAGGGCAAAACTGTTCTATTGAGTGGATATTAACTGTATATAATTTTCTGATGTGTCTTACATTTTGTTATATAACTATAAATCTTATACATATAATTAAAAGTGGCAAATTATCAGTTATCACAGCTTGCCATTTTCCAGTCTGTGTTTGATGCTATTGGTATTCTGGATAGTACTACTTTAGGCAAGATGACATAGTTGCTGCGATCAATTGATCTTCCTTGTAGACCAATACCTAGATTGTCTAGGGATATAACCAATACTATAATCCAGTACCAAACAACTGAGTGCGAAGCCAAACAGCTTGCAACCTCTCATCTCTAATAAACAGAGTAGGCAGAATTCTGGGACAGACTCAAAGGCCAAGAACCAGCTCTGGCTAGAAGACATCTCTGAAAAGTAGTCACTTCCTAAAGAGGTCTCGATACTAGTACCTACCTAAGCTACCTACCCATAAGCAATTTACAAGCATCAACCCAGAAAACATGTAAATTTTAAAAAGAAAGAAAGAAAGGAAAAGAAAATGAGAAAACACAGAAGATACAATCCCAGAGCTCCAGCTCACCCAAAGCAAATCCAGGGGACATTGAGGTAGAAGAAATCAAAAGCTACCCTGCTGAAATTTCTGAAATGATAGCAGAACTAGCAAAGTAGATGAATGAGTCTGTAGGAAAAAACAAAATAGAAACAACTACACAAATAACTAAAGATATGATGACCATAATGAAGGATATGGTTAGTGAATCTAGAGTAGATATAGGTTAAAAAAAAATAGAGGAGCTTAGGAAAGTGATGGAAACCATGAATGCCCAAGACAGAAAAGGACTGGATTCCATAAAACAGATTCAAACAGATATCCAGGAGATTAAAAACTGTATTGAAATAATCAACCAATGTGAAGACATAATATCTGATCTGGAAGATACGGTTGCAGTTTGCAATCACCAAATGAAAGACTTCTTAAAAGTAGCAAGGGACCACAAAAAAAAAAAAATCAACCCAATAGCTGCTAGATAATGTAAAGAAAAATAACATAAGAGTAATTGAAATCAATGAAAAATCAGAAGATAGCACAAAGGACATTAAAAAACTATTCACAGAAGTCATAGTAGAAAACTTTCCAAGCATGGAAAAAGAATTTGACATACAGATAAGTGAGGCATATAGAACTCCAATTAGCCATGATCAGAAAAAAACTACGCCAAGGCATATAATAGTCAAGATTCCAGAAACACAACACAAGGACAGAATATTAAAAGCTGTCAAGAGAAAAGAAACAAATCATTTATAAAGGAAAACTCATCAGAATCACACTCAACTTCTCTATACAAGGAGAGGATGAAGTATTTCAAGCCCTAAAGGAAAACAACCTCCAGCCTAGATTGACATATCCTGCAAAATTATCTTTCAAAATTGATTGGGAAATAAGATACTTTCATGATAAAGAATGTGTAAAGAAATTCATGACCACAAAACCAGCACTCTAAAAAGTTCTGCAGAAAATTCTAGAAAAAGACAATTAAGACAACAATTCCAAAAACCCTAGTAGAGTGAATCCACCAGGCAAGGCAAGCAATTAAATAGAAGGGAAAGAAATAGAATCAATGACAGGAAAATAATACGTTTGACAAGGACAAGTCAATACCTCAGTTATAACCATTAATGTGAATGGTCTCAATTCACCAGTCAAAAGAGATTGGCAGAATGAATCAAGAAACAAGATCCAACAATATGCTGCATACAAGAAACACAGTTAAATAAGACGCGTGGGGATGGCGAGCCCACCCAGAGGGAATAGGGCTCTGGGATCTGAACGACCACACGCAGCCGGACAAAAGAAATCAGACTCCACGGGAAACCTGGCCCACCCAGGCCCGCTCCTCCCCAAGGCTCAGGCCCATGGTGGTGGTGGTGGGGCGCGAGTTCAGTAATAAGTTGGCGACCAGCCCGAGGCTGTAGGAAAGGCGGGCCCTTGACTAGCGACGTTTCCGGAGACCTGAGGCCCACCGGGAAGGTTTGGCCGGTCAGGAGGGGACCCTCAGCCGTCTCCCCCGGGCGCCCCAGGAACCACACGGGAGACAGAAGTGCAGATGGCCACGGCCAGCGTGATGCGTTCTAGGCAGGCAGCAGCCCACGCGCCCGCAACTGAAGCAGCGGGGACAGCGTGTAGCGCAGGCGGCGGAAGGTGACGTCTGAGCGTAGGAGCTTGAGTCCCTGGCGGATGGCGTCGGGCTTCACCAGCACCAAGTAGAGCAGCGACAGCACCAGGAAGACAAGCGGAACCAGCACCAGGGTCTGCAGCCCGCCCAACGCCCATAGCCTGCGGCACACGGACAGAGGGATAAACGGGCAGCGAGGAAGAGAGGCCCGGGAGGGGATGAGGAAGGGGCCCGCAGCCTCAGGAGCCGCCTCCTGGCTCACCTGAGACGCCCCGAGCCCGCGCCGCCCAACAGCCGCTTCTCCTGCGAGAAAAGGGCCCCACGTCCCATTCCGTGTCGGGGGCACGGGCGCGGCGCCGCCCAGGTCTTCCCAGAGGATGCGGGTCCCAGCTCCAGCCCGACCGCCCCGACCCGCGCTCACGCAGTCCGCCCTGGCCACCTCCTCCATGAGTGAGCCCGCGCAGTCCTGCATCCGGAGAGCCCGCGAGTCCCACCTGCAGAGGCGGGCACCGAGCTGGGCCATCGCCCCGGCCCGACAGCCGCCCCGCCGCACCCAACAGTCCTAACTCGCATACGGTTCCGAGTCGCCCCGCCAGGCGTCTCGGGCAGCCGCCGCCTCCATCACCTTCCCCTGCAGCTCCTGGCGGGAGGGAGCGAGGACTCAGTGTGTGTGTGTGTGGCTCCCGGTCCCAGCCGCCGCAGGTCGGGGGGGTGGCGGGGTGGGGGCCGCAGTGCCATCGGAGGTGACCAGCTCTCAGGGTGGAAAGCGACCGCACCTGTAGGACTACGCTCTGCTCCTGGAAGTTGGCCCAGGCCTCCTCCGTCCGCTGCACGTCCTGAGGTACCGGAGCCTCGATCAGACTCCGGGGGCCACAGCTCCCTACCCCCTTCCCCAACATCCCGCCTCCGCTCGCACCTGCCGCAGGCCCTCCGCCTGCGTGGCGTACTTGGCCTCCACCAGCTCCAGCCGCTTCTTCGCGAGGAGACAAGGCTGCAACCCGCACTCCCGGGGCCACGCTGTGCCTCAGGGTCCCGCCCCCGCCCCTCAGAGCCCCGCCCAGCCAGCCCCCGGTGCTCCTGGCCCCGCCCCTTCCGCCCTTCAGGCCCCGCCCAAGCACCTGCAGCTCCACCAGGTGAGTCCCCACTTGCTGCTCTGCGCGCTGCTGACTCAGCTGTTCCCCTCCGTAGTAAAAAAGCTGGGGGAGGGGCTTGTGAGGACGGGGGTTACTGGGTTCTCAAAGCTGGTGGGGACGGGGACCAGAGCGGGACCTCGAAGAGGAACCCAGAGACAGAGGCCGTCTCATCCCTTGCGTACCTGACTGGACAGCTCCTCCAACTGGTCTTGCAGTTGTCTGTGGCTTTGCTCCTGCAGACGGGTTGGAGGGAGTGGTTCCGGGCTCTCCGCCAGCCCTGCCCCGCCCCACCCCCCCCCCCCCCCCCCCCCCCACCCCGCCCCGCCCCGCCCCGCCCCTCACCAGCTCCAGCTTGCGCCGCTCCGCAGCCTCCAGCAGTCTCTGCGCCCGCTCCGCGCGCTCCCGTACCGCCTCGCGAGCCTCCCCTCGTAGGGCCGGTGCCGCCTGGCTTCGCCTCCGCTGCAAGCTGCAGAGGGAAACTGAGGCCGGTGCTACGCAAGGGTGCGGGGCGCTCAAGATCCTGCGGCCCCTGTCGCCCCCGGGAAGGGCCAGCTTGGGCTGGGGGTTGGAGCCGAAGAAGAAGCCGCCGGGTCCGGGTCGTGCCAGGCACCAGCCTCCCTTCCCGGGCCCTCTGGGTAGATCGCCAGGGTCCCGCAGGCTAGGTCGGAGGTGCGGGCCGGGCGGGTCAGTCCGACCGCTCCGCCGAGCGGCGCCCCCCGCGCACCTGCGCTCCCGCTCGCGTAGCCTGTGCAGGCGCCCGGCGAGGCTCTCGCTCTCGACCTCCAGGCCGCGCACCACCTCCTCCAGCTCCTGCTTCCGCAGGCGGCCGTCGCGGTTGTCCTTCTGCAGCTGCAGCCACTGCTCCTGCGCCTCGGCCATGGCTCCCAGCGCCGTGCCCAGACCCCAGCACCCGGCAGGGACTCGAACTGCGGCCGGCGTCACAATGAGGAGCCGGGGGCGCCCTCAGACGCGAGGCGGGCCGTAGGGTCGCCCTTCGTCCATCGTTTATGAATTTTATCACTGAGGCGGGAGGATAGATGGCAAATTCGAGCCTAGCCTGGGCAACATAGCGACTTAGCAAGGTCTCGTCTCAAAATACAAGGGCTGGGGATGTAGCTCAGTGCGAAAGCCATGGTTCAACCTCAGTACCTGAGGAAAAAAGCATACACAGAGGAAAGGATTATCATCAAACATCTCACCACTTGGGCAAAGTGTCTGCTTACTTTTTGTGTAAATATCTTTCCTCGCTCAGAGGCTCTCAAATTTTTGTCTCAGGATCCTTTCATGCTATGAGAAGTTATTGATCTCAAAAAGCTTTTAAGTGGATAATATACCACAATATTCACCAAATTAAAACTAAATGTTTATGTATTAAACTGTACATAATACTATGAAATCATTTACATGTAAGTATATATTTTTATGTCTTCAAAATTAAAAACAAACGGTATTTTATTTTTTTAATTTTTTCCCCATTAACTTTATTGGTACATTTTAGGTATACAGCACAGTTACAGTCATCATTGGGATCTTGTACCATTACATAAGTCTCTTGGTTCT